GCATACGCTTTCAGGAGGAACTGGACTGTTTTTGCTGGCTTGAGGAGCCTCCTGGGGCTCCCGTGTGGCTCCTCGGGCACCTCGTGGGCCGTCGGGATGTCACGTGCGGCCATCTTGGAGCGCTCTTGGGGCAGGCTGGGAGCGTTTTGGGAGCCTCCCGGGTGCACGGAGGCTATCTTGGACGCTTGAGGAGCGATCTTGGCCTCGAGGCCTCGGAGGACCGCCCTGAGAGCGCCCCGGGGCGGGGGGGCACCGTCGTACAGAGGGGGGGCTGGCCCGGGGCCCTGGGGCCATGATGATCTCCCATATCTGTGTGTATATATATATATATATATATACCCCTGTGCACCCACCAAGAACCCCCCGTTCTCATGATTGTATATGATTGTATAGATGAGTCCTACGATTTTCGGACTCACTTGTGAGGCTCTTTTTTGGAAGACTGTTTGGGCTCCCTTCTACTCAACTCCCTCCGTCTACAACACAACACCCATTACTCAACAGCCTCCTTCTCCAACACAACACCCGATACTCAACAGGCTCCCTCCCCAAGCTGAACTTGAAAAGAACCTTCCACTCAACTCCCTCCACCTCCAACACAACACCCAGTACTCAACAGCCTCCTTCTCCAACACAACACCCGATACTCAACAGGCTCCCTCCCCAAGCTGAACTTGAAAATAACCTTCTACTCAACTCCCTCCGTCTCCTACACAACACCCAGTACTCAACAGCCTCCTTCTCCAACACAACACCCGATACTCAACAGGCTCCCTCCGTCTCCAACACACACACACACATGTACTCCAGATCCTACCACCACACACGACGCGACACCCGAAACTCCAACCGCACCCGCCCCCCTTTTTTTTCTTGGCATCTTCCAAGAGAAAAGGGGGGTTCATGGTGGGTGCACCGGCCTGTATATATATACATATATATATATACCAGAACCACGCGCGCGCTTCGAGCGCTAAGGTTCTAGCATGCTCTAGTTGTAGTCTACAGTGTTCGGTATTGGGGGGCATAGATTGTCGCACGGGTCGTGCCCCTCAGGGAGCTCCACTTGCGGCCCAAGAGACAGGCTTGGCTAGCGTTCCCCCGCCCTTGTCGGTACACACACACACACACACATCACAGAGATCGCGCCCCACACGGGGCTCCACCTACATCCCCAGAGACCACGCCCCTGACGCGGATCGCGCCCCGCAAATAACTGCATGTGCGGCACCAGAGTGAAGCTTCATGGTACCGCCCGACTCACTTCGGCACACCTCTCAAGCGAATCGCGGCCCGCAAGGAATTCCACGGACGGCTCCAGAGACAAAGTTCGCATCTCGCCCTCCCGTCTACTTCAGCACACATCTCACACGGATCGTGGCCCACAGGGGTCTCCACATACGGCCCCAGAGGCAGGGTTCGCGCTGCCCCACCCTCGGCCACCGCGGCACACCCCATCACGCGGATCGTGCCCACAAGGAGCGCCACCTAAAGACCCAGAGGCAGGTTTCGTAGAGCGCTCCCCCGCCGATGTCGGCAGACCCGTCATGCGAAGCATGCCCCTGACGGAGCTCCGCAAATGGCACCCATGGGCAGCTTCGCATGACGTACCCCCGCGAATTTCGGAACATGCCTTGCACGCACGGGGCGCGCTTGGAGGAGGTCCACCCGTGGCTTCAGTGGGGGCGCTCGCGCGGGGGGATCCGAATTGTTCGGTACACCCTTCTCGCGGGCCGTGTCCTACAAAGACTTCCGAAACTCAGCGCACGAGCACACCCGTGCACGCGTGCTCCGCAGCAGCAGTCGTTCCGCATTGCCCCGCGGCGCGCAGTGTATGAAGAGAGACCCGCGCCCTGCGCTGCACGTGGCTGCATAAAGAAGCTTCCGTCGCCAAGCCAAGTCCTTGCTTATCGATGGCCTGTGGCCAAGACAGCTACTGTGCCTGAGTTCGGGGCCAGAGGACCCTTGGATACCGATAGTGTGAGGTTTCTTGGCATGTTTCTCGGGCGCCTCGTGGAGCGCGTGTTGAAGCTTCTTGTGGCCTCATGTGGGCCGTCTGGGGGCCTGTGGGCGTATCTTTTAGGGCCCCCGGGGGCCTCTTGTGTGCCTGCTGCGGCCTCGGGGGCCCACTCGTGGCGGAGGGCTCGAGATGTCAACTTGAATTCCCCGTCGTGTACTCCTCTTGGGGCCCTCTCGGGCCGTCTCGGGCGCCTCTTGGACCGTCTTGGAGCTCTCTTGGGCAGTCCTGGGGCTCTCTTGGAGGCCTCCTGGGCCATCTTGAGGCGATCTATGGGGCTTCTTGGGCCTTTTTGGAAACTGTTCGAACCCAAAATGCGAATGTGCTAAAAATGCACCGTCCCCCTGGGGGATGAAACAATTTGGGCCTCCTGGGGCCTCTCGGGGCACATCTTGGAGCCTTCGACGTCGTCGGGGCCTCTTGAACCATCTTGAGACAATATTCGAGCGTTTTTGGCCCTGCCAGGCCGCTCTGATCGCTGGTGGCCTCTGGGAAGACCTGGCACTGGACAAAAATATCGTGGGTGAAATCTGGGAGGGTGTCCCCGCCGGGGCCCGGGGCCCCCAGTACGCCAGCATATATGCAGGATTTCTTGGGGCCCTCGCCTAGCCCCAGCGTCTCTGTCTGCCCCGTACCCTGCGTTCTCCCTCCTTCCGATACGAGCCGGGCGCAAGAGACTTTGAAATACCTGAAGGTTTCTGAAGAACCTGCTTCTCCTACTTCCTGCTGCGTCCTCCTCTTTCCTCCTTTTCATCGCAACCAAGATTCACTGGAGGGTGCGATTCGGTCGCAGACAGCTCCATTGAGGTAGTGACCCACACACGGTTTGACCTGGAAAGAGAAGGTGCCACCGAGACCTACGGCCCCAGATGAAGGCAGGGTTCACAAAGCGTACCCCACCAATGTCGGAACGGCCCTCACGAATCGTGCCCCCCCGGTGAGCTCCACTCTCGGGTCCAGGGACAAAGTTCGCATGGCGCCTATCCCCCCTATTAGCGCACACCCTTCACACGGATCGCGCCACAGGGGAATGCCGCTTCATGTGCGGCCCTGGTGGAAGGAGTCGGCTCACGCCACGTCCCCCCGTGTATGTTGCCTGCCTCCTCGCACGGACCGTACCCCACTGGGAGCTCCACCGACAGCACCAGAGCCAAGGTTCGCATCCCGCCGCCCCGCTCATGCCGGCACACCCCCTACCTGGATCCTGAGGTCGGGGAGTCTTGGGTGCCTCTCGGCGCGCGGGCTGCGGCAGCGCTGGGTCATGGTTGCCTCTCTCCGTCCTTCTCCTCCTCCCTCACATCCTCCTCCTCTTCCTCCTCCTCCTACTCATCCTGGTCCTCCCACTCCTCCTCCTCCTCCTCTTCCCCCATCCCCCTTCGTCCCCTGCCTCCGACGACTTGAAATTTTCTAGTCTCAGGCTTCCCCCCGTGGGGACGACTTAGACGACGACGACGACGACGACGACGACGACGACGACGACGACGAGGGTGACGACGACGAGGACGAGGGGGAGGAAGAGGAGGAGGAGGATGTAAAATTCTATGTTAAGGCTATCTTGTGGAATATGGTAGCGTGTTGGGAGCCTTTGGGTTCCGTCCTGGCACTCTAGTGCCAGGAAGGGTTGTTGGACAGCTCGGTACTGTCGTGGCTATCGCGAGGTGAGTGTGTGTGGGGGGGCTATTTGAGCCGTGGTATTTCTCCCTTGGGAACCGCCTCTTGGGACTCTCGTGCGGCTCGCTTGGGAATGGCTTGGGGCCACATGAAAAAGGCTGGGCAATAAAAATGCCGCCATTGTGCATGGGTTGTGGGTCAGAGGCCTCTTGGATGCATGTTCGACTCTCTTAGGAAGCCTGTTTGGTGAGCGTCTTGGAAGCAGTGGGCCTTTGAGGGGCCGCTGGGGGGAATTTGAGACGTTAGTTTGGGCGTCGGCGTCCTGGGGACATCCTGGGGGCTTCTTGAGGGCCTGCTAGCGGTCTCGGGGGCCCCCTTGGGGCGGAGGGCTCGAAATGTGAATTCGAATCCTCGTTTTGGGGCCCCTCTAAATGCTCTGTCTGGGCTCTCTTGGGCCGTATTGGGCGCCTCGTGGGCCGTCTTCAGCCTCTCTTGGGCAACGTTGATGCCTCATTGGGAGCCTATGTGGCCGTCTTGGGGCGATCGTAAGGGAGGAATTGGGCCGTCTTGGACGCTGTAAACACCAAAATGGTGAATGTGTCAAAAATGAACGTCTCCCGCACGGGAAGGAACGATTTGGGCCTCATAGGGGCCCTCTTGGGGGGTCTCGCGAAGCTCTCTCGGGGCGTCTTGCAAAACTCTGGGGCCGCTGGGAGGTTATTTTCAGCGGTCCTGAGGCGCCTTTGGGGCGCCTTTTGGGTGCTCTTGGCAGCCTCTTGGGCAGCCCGGAAGCCATCGTGGACGGGGAGCGGGGAGTGGACGGGGAGCGGCCAAGGAGACCCTAGGGGTGGGATTAATTTGCTGAACTTGAAGTTGTCTTCTTCATTGCTCGAGCAAACATCCCACCCTCCCACCCGCAACTTGGTCAGCAAAACTCACCAGACCGTGGCTGCAAGTACCCAGCGAAGCTTCCTAGCGAGTACCTGACGCCGACGTCGTCGTCGTCGTCGTCGACGCCGTCGCCGAAGCCGTCGTCGTCGTCGTCGTCGTCGTCGTCGTCGTCGTCGTCGTCGTCGTCGTCGTCGTCGTCGTCGTCGTCGTCGTCGTCGTCGTCTTCCCCGCCGTCGTCGTCGTCGTCGTCGTCGTCGTCGTCGTCGTCGTCGTCGTCGTCGTCGTCGTCTGTCGTGGTCGTCGTCGTCTTGCGCACATCGCTCGGTATCGGCCGACTTCGGGAACCTGGGATCGTTCAACCTTGGAACTGCAGTGGGGTAGCCGCCGCGTCGACGCGGCGCGAACCTCCCTGCCGTCGACGCGGCGCGTTGAATCTCGAGCGGCCCCCGCTCTCCGGCACCAGAGTTCGTTCGAGGCTGACCTGGTTCAGGTCGCCGCCGGCCATCGGCCTTGAACAGCCCGCGCCCGCGACACCGCCGCGAGGGCGCGGCGCGAGGCTACCGTCGTTTCCTGAACACCCCCCCCGAGCAGGACAAGACAGAGCACGTAACGTGACGCATCCCGACACGCGATGCGCGTCGCGCATTTATCTTCGCGTCCTCGCGCTGCCTCCCCAGAGAAGGGCCCGGGGCCCATACAGCGCACCCCACTCAGGAAGGCCAATTGGTCTCATAGGGCTCACAGGGCTTACTGATCTCATGGGCCCATAAGGGAGGACGGAGGATCTGGAGGTAACGTGGCTTTGGGGCGCCTTACCCCTGTTAGTCGGCCCATGCCCCCGGACGGACCGCCCGAAAAGGGAGGTCGGAGGAGGAAGGCGGGAGGGAGGGAGGGAGGGAGGGAGGGAGGATGGGAGGGAGGGAGGGGGGAGGAGGAGGAGGAGGAGGAGGAGGAGGAGGAGGAGGAGGTGGAGGAGGAGGAGGAGGAGAGGGAAAAGAGGAGAGGAGGAGGAGGAGGAGGAGGAGGAGGAGGAGGAGGAGGGGGAGGAGGAGGAAGAGGATATAGAGGATTTTGCAGCACGTGGGAGAGCGCCCCGCGCGGGCTCGCGCGCCGCCGCGGCCGCGCGGGGAGCGGCCGCGCGGGCGCGGCCGCTCGGCCGCGTGCCGCCGCGCGCAGCCGTGTGCAAAGCGACACGGCGAACGCGCGCAGGCGCGCCACCCTGCCAGACCACCCGCCGACGACGGCCGGGCGCTGCCGCTGGCCCGCGCGCGGGCTTCGCAGCCTGGAGGCGCTCGTCCCAAGGGGGGGGCCCTACCCGAAGAGGGCGGCGTAGTCGCCGTCGGAGGCGCCGCCCTGCCCACCGCCCGCCTCGGCATCAGCGCTGGGAGAATCGGGGGGCGCGTCAGCCCCGAAGAGAGCACTGTAGTCTGCGGCCGCGCCGCTCCCCTGGCCGGCCAGCAACGCCAGGCCGCCATCGGCGTCGGAGTCGCCCTTGCGCGGATCGACCGGCGCGCGGACTCCCCCTCCGGAAGGCCTGCGCCGAGCGCGCCGGCGACGCCCGGAGGTCGTTCCGAAGCGCCGGTGCGCCCGAAACCAGCCCGCCGGAGTGGGAGTCCCTGCACCGCCGATCCCGCCTCCTCGTCGGAGAGGTCGGAGTCGTCGGTGGAGTCGGCGCCCCGCTCCACCTGCTCCGCGGGCGCCCCGGGGCCGCCCACCGGCAGCCAGTCCGTCCGCCGAAGACGCCCGAAGTAGAATGCGCCGTCGTGGTACGAGACCCTGCTGAGGCCCACGTACGCGAAGCCCCGGCAGGCCGGCCGCCAGAGCTCGAAATACAGCACCACACGGCGCAGGGAAGCGCCTTGTGCCTTACGAGTGGTCATGCCATAGCCGTAGACGGCCGGGATGTACGCCGCCGTGTGGCGCCGGCCGTGCTCCGTCTTGATGGGGTGCACCAAAACGTACGCCCCATGGGCCAGCCGCACTATGAACACGGGCGGCCCCGACGTCCCGTCCGAAAGGACGAAGGCGACGGTGCCCGTGGCGCCGTTGCAGAAGCCCCTGTCCTTGTCGATGTTCTTGGTCATCCTCAGCCACATGCCGACCTGGACGACCACCCTGCGGTCGCCGTAGTCGGGGTCCGAGCGGAAGCCCGCGGGGTGCGCGTCAATGGCAGCCTGGTCCAAGCCATAAGCCTGCCGAAGGTATTCGTAATTGACCTTCTGCGCGCCCTCGCTGGTGCACGTGAGCCACGTGACGGGGTCCTTGTCCCCGGGGGCAGCCTCCTGGCAGACCCGACGGCACTCGGCCACGGCGCGCGGCAGGTTGCGGCCCAGATGCCGACCCCCGAAGAAGTCCTTCAGCGCTCGCCTCGTCGGCTGCCGGGCACGGATGTCCGAGAGGAAATCCAGGAGCACGGGGTCCTTCGACCTGGCGAACTCGTGCGTCTGCATGTGGATGTGCTGGAGGCCGTCGTTGGACAGGAAGTGTCGTACGAAGCCCCCGCTGCCCACCGGCTGGAGTTGGGACAAGTCCCCGGCGAAGACGACGAGGGGCCGCTGCGGCAACTCCGGAAGGACCTGCAAGAGGATCTCGAAGATGTGGTCATCGAGCTGCGAGACTTCATCAATGAACACGGCGTCGTACTGCGTGAGTCTCGTAGGGGGCGAGTACGTCTTGCGGTCGTAGTCCCGCAGGACCCGCCAGGCCGAGTGGATCGTCTCCACGGTGATGAACTGCGTGGAGGGTAACCTGTCCCTGTACTGGCCCACGAGCACGCCCGTCGGACAGGCTATGAGCACCCGGGCCTCGCGCTGCGAGGCCTCGTGCGCGGCGTAGATGAGGGCCTCGCTCTTCCCGCACCCCGGCTCCCCAAACACGTGGACGAACTGGGAGAGCACCGGGGCGAGCCGGAGCTCGTTGGA